CTGACGCCGCTCTGATCCGCCTGTCGATCTCCCGCTCCGTCCTACCCTCACTCCTGAACAAGATCCTGAGATACTTGAGCTCCTCCACCTGAGGCAGGAGTCTGTTTCCATGGTTACGCTCATAATCATTTATGTCGATTATTTTAATGATATCAAAGATCTTTCTTCCCTGAAGATGGTTTCTTGTCCTGGTGAAGATGTTTGTGGATGAGGGTGTAGATGTGGTCGGTGGTTCAGTGTTGTGGTCCTTCTGGTTCAGGACATGATGGTTAACCCCGCCCCCCTCATTGAAGTGATTATTCCTCAAAACTTTCACTGATCAGAAAATAATTGATGACTTTAATTTGACTGATCTTCTGTCTGATCCAGACTCTGCGTGTTCCTCCTGATCAGACGTTCAGACGGTTGAAAGTAAATCAAAGACCCCCCCCCCCCCTTTACTCTGAGTGGATTAGAAAATAACCGCCTCTTTAATGAGCGGCTGAGTGTGTGTCACGCCGCTGCTGGCTGGGAGACTTTTGATTCTTGGACGGCGGTGCCCTGTGCCAGCGTGTTTCTGGAAGTTCTCCTCAACAATGAATGGGGTCATGTGTTTTCTTCGCCGTTTGTTATTTAAGACGATTAGAAACCGTGAAATCTGCTCAGTCCACACGAGGAAAAAAACCAACGCTGCTCGATCCAAAACACAGATTGGTCTCTGAATCAATATTAGATAATGATGACGAAGATGATATTGATGAAGAGCTCACACACACACACACACACACACACACACAGACACACACACACACACACAGACACACAGACACACACACACACAGACACACACACACACACACACACACAGACACAGACTCACACCCACACACACACACACACAGACACACAGACACACACACACGCTCGCACTCACACACACTCACACAGACACACACACACACACACACAGACACACACACAGACACACACACAGACTCACACACACACGCTCGCACTCACACACACTCACACAGACACACACACTCACACACACACTCACACACACACACACACACACACAGACACACACACAGACTCACACACACACACACACACACTCACACACACACACACACTCACACTCACACACACACACACACAGACACACACACACAGACTCACACACACAGACATACACACACACAGACACACACAGACACACACACTCACACACACAGACACACACACACACACACACACACAGACACACAGACACACACACACACACGTCTGCGCTGACCCACGTCGTCGCCGTCGTCGTCGTCGGTGTAAAACCTCCTTCTTAGATTCTTAGAAATCAGATTTTTTTTAACCTTTGACCTCTAACCCAAACATGACCTCGTCCGCTCGCTCGTTCTCACCTCTGATGCCGTCGTGGAGCTGAACTGTGATTGGTCGTAGATCCAGCCGTGCGTGCAGGGCGCAGTTGCGTTACCTTGGTCAAGGTCAAGGGTCAGCGGGGGATCGTAAACTCTGCAGGAGCTGAAGGATCCGTCCTCCTGGCGAGGGATCCTGAGGGCCAGGAACCCTGGGTCGGCGCCGGGCGACCCCCTATCCCCATCCTGGGGGGCGGCGAGGGCGCAGCGGTGAGCAGGTGTGGCAGAAACGAAGTTATGGAGCAGGAAGTGGAGCGGGAGGATGGCGCGGGGGAGGCACAGGATCAACAGGATCATGAACTGGAACCTGGAGAAACCGCCGACGTCGTCCAGGATCTCCTCGAACCTCATGGTGAAGAAGAAGGTCTGAAGGTCTGAGTCCAACAGAGTCCAACAGAGTCCAACAGAGTCCACGATCCTAACTGGCTCTGCTGGGTCTGCTGGTCCTCTGAGCCTGATCCTGGAATAAACCAGACCAGGAGAGGGGGGCGGGGCTTCTGACTGAGAAGAGAGAGAGAGAGAGAGAGAGAGAGAGAGAGAGAGAGAGAGAGAGAGAGAGAGAGAGAGAGAGAGAGAGAGAGAGGAGAGAGAGAGAGAGAGAGAGAGAGAGGGAGAGAGACCGCGTGTGTGTGTGTGTGTGTGTCTGTGTGTCTGTGTGTGTGTGTGTGAGAGAGAGTGTGTGTGAGAGTGTGTGTATGTCTGTGTGTGTGTGTGTGTGTGTCTGTGTGTGTGTGTGTGTGTGTGTCTGTGTGTGTGTGTGTGTGTGTGTCTGTGTGTGTGTGTGTGTGTTTCTCGTTCCCTCAGACGTCTTCACTCTTTATATTTAATATTAAAAAACTTTAATTCCTCAGATTTTATAAAGACCCTCAAAGTTCTTTACATTCATTCACTCATTCACTCATTCATTCATTCATTCATTCATTCATTCACTCACACAGTCACACCTTCATGGTGGTAAACTTCTCACAGCTGACCTGGGACAGACTGACCGAAACATGGCGGCCAGTCTGCGCCTACGGCCTCTCCGACCACACAACACACACACTCACAATCACACACCAGTGGAGGACACACACACACTCACAGTCAGGTGAATGAAGTGTCTCAGCGACAGACTGGACAGACTCGGGGGAGGGCGGGAATCAAACCACCAACCTTCTGGTTTTTGGTCGACCGCTCTACCTCCTGAGAAACCGCCGCCCCTTCACAGCGCCGTTTCACAGCGCCGTTTCACAGCGCCGTTTCACAGCGCCGTTTCCACTTTACTGACTGAGAATAAAATATTTTTAATATTTTTAAATATTTGTCAGTTTTCTTTTTTTTATGGTTTTCTTTCAAAATAATCAAAACGGGACATTTAATCTCGTCACAAAGTCCTCCACTGATGGATGATCTCCAGTGTTCCCAGTTTTCCCCAGTATCTCCAGTGTTCCCAGTGTCTCCAGTGTCCCCAGTGTCTCTTTGTGTTTTTTTTCCTCCCTTTGTGTCTTTTGTTGGATTTTGGATTTTTGTTGCCTGTTTTTTCTGGGTTTTTTTTCCTGTTTTCTTGTTTTTTTAATTTGGACATCTGAAGTTTTTGTTGTTTTTCTTTTTGTTCCTGTTTAAATCATTAAAATTTCGTTCTGCATTTTTGGTCTTTTTCTGTTTATTTCAGATTCCTGACAGAAACGGTTTTTATTAGTGAAACTCTTTGAACAGATGAATTCAGAGTTGTGTTGACGCTGCTGTTTGACACATAATGAGATTTAAAGCGTCCGTATTTCAGTAAATCTGTTAAATTAGGTGTGAGACCGTCGTCACTCAGACTGACGTTCCTCTGAATCCGTCCAGATCTGCGTAAAAAAGGAGATTATTCTGCTGTTTGATGGGCTCTGGTTTCACTTCAGGCCTGTTTGGACTTCGGCCTCAGATGACCTCCTCACTGAGTCCTGGACCGGTCCTAAACCTCTGATTGGACTCGCTTCCTTCTCAGATTTCCCTTTAGATTATAAATGATCATAAATTTCTGTTTTTACACCTTTAACCCTGAAACTGACTTTAAAAAAAAGGTTTTTTGTTTTGTGTTGTTTTGGTCAGGAATCGAACGAGCAGCGAGGGTTGAACTGATGAAGTTAGGGTGTGTCGCAGCAGAGGAACAACAGTGACGACAATCGTGACGACAATCGTGTCCTCTGATCACAGTTGGACTCTAAAAACCCGGGGCTGACCCGGGTCAGAACAGGGCCACCGAACACGCAGGGTAAGTTACTGAGAAGGATCGACTTTCCCTCATCGATGAGTGAACTCTGAGGTTCCACGTGATTATAATAACAATAATAATAATAATAATAATTATTATTATTATTATTATTATTGTTATTATTATTATTATTATTATTGTTGTTGTTGTAAATATAATAATAATATTATTATTACTTTATTATTATTATTATTATTATTAGTATTATTATTATATTTACAATAATAATAATAATATTATCATAATAATAATAATAATAATAATAATAATAATAATAATAATAATAATAATAATTATTATTATTATTATTATTATTATTATTATATTTACAATAATAATATAATAATAATAATAATAATAATAATAATAATAATAATAATAATAATAATAATAATAATTATTATTATTATTATTATTATTATTGTTATTGTAAATATAATAATAATAATAATAATAATAATAAAAGTAATAATAATAATAATAATAATAATAATAATTATTATTATTATTATTATTATTATTATTGTAAATATAATAATAATAATAATAATAACAATAATAATAATAGTAAGAATAATAATTATAATAATAATGGCGCTCCGTGGCCCGGCTCTTCTTTCAACGATGTTATAAAATAAACACGTAACTTTACATAATATTATATTATATGTTATAATATTCATTCGTATGGAGGGCCGGACTCCGGATTGAAAATTCACAGAATTTTAAGGACGTGAGAAAATGAGATAAACGGGTTATTTTGAATAAAAGTTTGTTTTATTGTTTTGTTCAAATTTTCAAATTTAATAACTCATCTGATCAATAAACCAATCATCTGTTCAGCCGCCGCCGCTGCAGCAGGGCGGGGAGATGTGTGATGGTCAAGCAGGAAATAGGAGGAAGAGAGAGACGAATTAAATATGTTCTTAACTTCATCACGTGTGTCAATTTACTAGATATTTAATTTAATTTTATTTTATTTAATTTAATTTAATTTAATTAGATTTAATTAAACGCGTCCTCAGCTGTGTTGAGTCGGTCAGGTTGTGTGTCCAAACGCACTCGTCAGATCAGATATAGATCAGAATATATCGATAGATATAAAGATCTGAAACTGTGGAAACAGACATCAGTGACATGTGCCGATACAAACGCCGGTCGACCAAAATACCACATCTGCGCTCCGCCTGTGCTAAAGCTGACCGGGTTTGAATCGGCGAGCTTTCAGCGCACTTTCTATGCCGGCGGCGAGCACGAAAATGTCACTGCGCCAGCTGATTCTGCTGACACCTCCCCCTACCACGCCACCACGCCCAGCTTGGCGGACCTTGGTGCGCCTCAGTGCCAGCAGGTCCCTCAGAGAACCAAATAATCCCGATGCTTTGTGATTGGCTGGTCCCTCAGAGCCAATCAGGAGTTCTCTACTGTCGCAGGGTTACAGCGGAGGAGGAGGAGGAGGAGGAGCTGGATCTTCCTCCTCAAACTGGCTTTAGAGCAGTTTCTCGCCCCTAAACCAGACCGGTCCCAGTCTGGTTGTTTTTAGGACCCCCTTCGCTCGGTTCAGGAACACATCGTGGTTCGGATTAGCCTGGACTTGATCTCGGGACGGGAACAGACATCTTTTGTTCTGGCTACAAGCCCAGGAGACAAACTTTGATACCAGGACTAGCCAATCACAGTCCAGCGGTACCAGCCAATCACAGAGCAGTATGGCAGGATTAGGTGAAAAAAGATGGAGGCATGAGGTGTTGCCGTGGAAACAAAGCCAATGGAGAATGAATTAAGATCCTTAGTAGAATTGGACGCATTAATCTCTGAGATGATCTCAGTCTGGTGACTCGCTGTGAAGGGGGATAAAGTCCCCACCACTGAGGGCTCAGAGCTCATGAACCCAGAACCCGTCCAGAACCAGCAGTGGCTCGAGAAACAGAACCAGTTTGACTTGAACAGGACTCGACAGAAACCCTGAAACAAGGACTGAAGACGGGACGACTGAGGTCCAAACAAAACCGGTTTCATGATGAGACACAGACGCTGGTGTAACACCGACTTCATTCATTGGTTACTGAAGATAAGTTACAAAGCCCAGGATGGCGGCGACCATATTGGAAACACTGATCGGAGCCACACACCTGATGGCGGTGGTGGCGGTGGTGGCGGCGGTGGCGGCGGTGGCGGCGGTGGCGGCGGAACCTCAGCAGAAGTTTGAGTTATCTGAGGAGCGGACAGAGAATCTGTGAGCAGAGATGATGAGACGGTCTCAGCTGCTGTTTGACGTCAGCCGCTCAATGACCATGTGTGGACACTGTCACTTTAAATCATCATGTCTGTCAAATCAATTTCACGGTGGGGAGCGTAAAACGTGATTACAACAGGAAGTGACGGTTCCTGAAAACTCCACCGAGTCTGAAGATCAGACTGTGTCTCCGACTCTTCAGACTTTAACCTTCAACTTCTCAAAAACCTGTTTCAGCCTCTCTGGCTGAGCTCGCTTTGGGCGCTCTGGGCGCTCCGGGTCACATGGTTGTAATAACGGGGTGGGGGGGTGGGAAAGGAGACGCCAAAGAAAGTAAATATTGTTCCCTACATCAGAATCATCAAACAGGAACTAAACGGAGAGTAAAGGCTCGTAACGTCACCGCTCCAGTATTTCATTAAGGCTCTTTGATTGGTCAGTTTGGAGAGGGGAAAACCAGAGGAGAGGTTCAGTCCAGGTGAACCGGTCCAGGTCCAGGACAAACACGGGAAAGGTTGTTCATCATCTGTGTTTTTATGTTGTTTCCTCTTTAACAAACTCGAGAGCGTTTAACGAAAACTCGTGGTCGGTTTAAGAGGAAGTAGATCTTAAAGTCGGAGACCAGAACGTTTCCAACTCACCTCCAAAAAAACACGACGACAGAGGCTTCAGTTTGTTCGACCGTCAACGTTCAAATCAGTCTCTCATGTGAAGTCTTCCATGTCTCAGGTCATAATAACAAAAATAATAATAAAAATAATAAAATAATAATAATAAAAAATAATAATAATAATAATTATAATAATAATAATGATTATAATAATAGTAATAATAAAAAAAATAATAATAATAATAAATAATAATATTTTTTTTTTTATAATAATAATAATAATAATAATAATAATAATAATAATAAATAATAATAATTTTTATTTATTTAATTATTATAATAGTAATAATAATAATAAAAATAAAATAAAAATAATAACCATAATAATAGTAATAATAACAATAACAATAATAATTATAATAATAGTAATAATAAAAAGAAAATAATAATTAAAAAAATAATAATAATAATAATTATTATCATTATTATTATTGTAAATATAATAATAATGATAATAATAGTAATAATAATAATAATAATAATTATTATTATTATTATTTTGGAAAAATAATAATAATGATAATAATAATAATAATAATAATAATAATAATAATAATTAATTATTATTATTATTATTATTATTATTATTATTATTATTTGTGTTTTGTGCGCATGAGGGTCACTTCACTGACGCATTTGTTGTTGTCATGTGAACGACCGCACAAAAAGATCGGAAAAATCCGAATCATGCATCATAACCTGCAGTGTGAGCGTGGCCTGAGACTCTCCACAGACAGACAACAGGAGACCAGAGAGACTGAGACCAGGATCTGGTCTTCAGACCTGGTCTCAGACCTCTCAGAGGCTGAATCAGAATCAGGGATCGTAGAAAAACGCCGCTCACGGAGAACATGAAGTCCTCGCTGCTAACCGCTAATCACACCAAAACACAGAGAAACTGTCCGTCAGTCCCTGAGCGCCGTAGCGGTCAGATGATGTTGAACTCGAGGTCTTTAAACAGCTGTTAGTTAAGCAGTGATTGACGTCATGATGATGATGATGATGATGACCACGGCGGCCTTATCAGCGTGTCTGGATCTGGATCAGTATCTCCGTTTAAAGCAGGAAACATCAATCAGAACTGAACCGTGAGGGTCCTGCTGGCCCGTCACCTGCTCGCTCTGAAGTCTCTAAATGTCCCATAATGCAGTTCATCAAACACAGAGGAGGACATTGATCCAGCGGGGAGTTCAGCTAACAGAGTTAACATCAGCGGAGATAAACAGATCAGTCTCCAAAGATCCACAAACACGTCATCCTGAAAACTTCACCGCCGTCTGCTGAGAGAGTTTAACCTCCACGATCATGTGACCTGCTGATGTTTGGACAAAGAGCAGATTCGGACCGTGAAGGACGCATTATTTCAGCTGATGACATTCCTCAACCTGCGTGGAGCTGACCGTCCACCCCGCACGACACTTCGGGAAAACAGTCGACTTTGTTACAGGTTTCGTTTGTGCTGCTTTGTTTTGGTTTTTGTCACTTTTGTTTCTTTAACCCTCTCAGTCTCTGGTCTTTGTTTTTAACTCCGCCCTCCTCTGGGGGGGGGGATAAAAACAAAAACACACAAACCCATAAAAACCTCAGTGACCTTAATGTCAGGTTTTGCATTCATTCACATGCCAAGGTGTAGCTAAACAGCTGTGCTGTTTCCATGGTAACCCCACCGTCACACAGAGGAAACATCTGCAGTGACGACCTTATTTAGGTCTGAAGTTGAGCAGGAAGTGACGCTTGATATCCGCCATTTATTGACACCAAAGACTGTATCTAGAACAGACGCCGTCTGCCTCCTCTCTCTGAGAACAGCGCCCTCTGGTGACGGGCTGCAGTATAGGTCCTAAACCCCGCCTCCTTATGGAGCTGTGGACAAACTTTATAAATGAATGACACAGAATATAAATGTTTCTCCCCCCTGGTTGTGATGTTGACATGTAGTTACTGTCAGACTGGTTTGTGCTCAAGTCCTCTTTTTTCTGTACAGCTCCATTTTTAAAAGTTATTAGGGGGTTCATGTTTTCTATGATTGACACCTGATACAGCCAATGGGAGGACAGAGATTGAGTAGATCACGGGGGATACGCTGTTTGAGCCGAGCGTCATCACAGCGACTCTCCCGCCGAATGCGAACAACGTTACTGCGCAGCGTTGGTTTCAGGAAGTGGAGAAAAAACGCAGAATTACTGAGAACTTTTCAGCTTCATATTCGTAAACATGAGGAAGGAGGAACCAAGTGGTCCAGAACATGTTCAGTTTATGGTTGAAACACAGTGATTTTTTTCAGGAGAGCAAAGGGGGGCACAACCGAAGTGAGAGAGTTAGAGAGTTGATCGGCAATGGTCCGAACTTCCATATCGCAATATTAGGTTGAATGTTAAATACAAGTTTTAAAAGGTAGATCTGAACGTACAGTTATCACGATGATCAAAAATACAGATTTCATGTTTTAAAAAAGATATTTACAGGAATAAGAGATGATATGTAAATATATATATAACATATATATGTTATATTTATTTTATATATATAACACATATAAATAACACGTATATATATATATGTATATATATCCAGACTTAATCAGCTTTGTTCATTTATCAGAGAAAGATTAATGAGCTGCTACTGTGAACAAACTTCATCCCTGAATTTGTGGCAGAGTGAGACCTCTGTGTATTTCTTCTATCTTTGGAGAGAGAGAGAGAGAGAGAGAGAGAGAGAGAGAGAGAGAGAGAGAGAGAGTTAGTGCATTGTCTCTCTTTCATTCTTCTTCATCGTTGGTCTGCAGTCAGAGATGGAGGAAGGAGCAGACCGAGGAGGAGGAGGAGAGGAGGAGGGGGGGTATCACCGGGCAGCCAAGCGTCTCCGGAGGGAGGAGGTGGAGGAGAGGGAGGAGAGGGAGGAGGTGGAGGTGGACTCCGGCGAGGAGAAGGCACGGAGGAGCACGGAGAGAGAAAGCCGGAGGAGCAGAGAGAGGGTAAGGAGGAAACTGTGTGTGTGTGTGTGTGTGTGTGTGTGTGTGTGTGTGTGTGTGTGTGTTTGTACGGTGGCCCTGAGGTTGAACTGCACAAACATTTCACAGCGTCTCTAAATATCTGCTGGAAAAAAGAAAAAATGACCCAAAAATGTTTTAGACAGAATCAACTTCGTCAGCTGAAACTGATTTTTATTTTTAGGTTTGACGATTTTTTTTTCCATTTGATAAAAATTCTTGTACCATGTGAAATATTTTTGTGCTCTAAAAAACATTTTTGAAAATTCATTCTAAAATTTTATAATGAAAAACTTTTATCATTTTTAAAGATTTTTTAAAGAGTTAAATTTGAAAATTATTTTTGCTTTTTTTTAAAGTGTTTCATTCTTTTTTTCTTTCAAAAACATTTTTTTTATGCTTGTATTTTTTATTACATACAATGATTAAGTTTTTATCAATATTTTTGTTTTTTATAAAATATTTTGTCTATTTTTATAAAATGTTTTGTCTATTTTTATCAAAATCATGAATCTAAAATATTCTGTTTTATACTTTTTAAAATTCGATAACATGGAATATTTGGGGGTTCAAACTTTTTAACAGCTTTTAAAAAGATCGTCTTTTAATCGTGAAACCGTTTTTTTTTTATTGAGACTAGTTTTGGCCGAACGACGGTTTATCCCGGAGAGAGAGCAGACGTCTGCTGCGTCTCTGAGTCAGTGTGGAGTCGTCTGCGCTCGCTAACAGGAAAGACGGAGCGCGTCGGTTCGGGAGCGTTTCCGTATTTTCACCAGCGTGTCGTGCGGAGTTTGTTTGCTCCGTCTGATTGGTCAGGTTTGGGTGCGCTCCCTATGGTCACCAGCGTGTCCAGCAGACTGAAGAAACAGCTTCACTGTTGGTTGTCATGGCGGACGCAGAGATTAGTGTCAGTACCGAACAAACGGAGGCGGCCCGACCAACCCGACACGAGGAAGAGGAGGAGGAACTCGTTCGGAAAAAGGGCGCGAGTCGAGACGTCGGTGTTCTGGAGATTCTTCGGATTTAGAAAATTCGACAATGATCAAAAATCTAAACTATCAGAGAGTGTTGTGTGTCTGTCGCTCGCTCTCAGAGGAAGTGTCGTTCTTCTGTTTGGAACATGAGGAAGCTCTGCTGGGGAAGACTCCTCTGTCGGGTTCTGGCAGGGACAGGAAGTGCCGGCGCTCAGCAGGAAGTGAGGCAGCCATCTGTCGACCTTCATGAGAAGCTCTGTGGCGTTTTTCTCTCTCAGCCGAGTCCTGGACGAGCTGAAGGAGACGATTTCTCAACCAAACGACAAAAAGGTTAGGATGTCACATGACCTGATGATGTCACAGACAGAACAAACAGAGCAAAGGTGAAAGCGTACAGGACGCCATTTTAATCAGCGCAGTAAAGCGTACAGGACGCCATTTTAATCAGCGCAGTAAAGCGAACAGGACGCCATTTTAATCAGCGCAGTAAAGCGTACAGGACGTGTATCGGCGCCGTCAGAGCTTCAAATCGACAGCAGCTCTGCTAAATATGTGGCGGCGAGTCGATTTCTGCTGCTCTACACTTCCTACACACGTCAACCTACACAGAGAAGATTGTTCTAGACAGGAAGTCAAACACGAAGACCGCGCATGTATTTCAAAATAAAACACCGTATGTGAACTTCGCTCCAAATACGCTGATCCTGAACGCTGCTCTACAGAGCAAATACAGAACAACACACACACACACACACACACACACACACACACACACACACACACACACACACACACACACACACACAGCAGTATTCTCATAGGTGTTTCATTGTTGTCATGCTGGTAACACCTTTCCCTCCTCTTCAAAGTCACCGTTGCTATGGTAACCATGCGTAGGTGCAGTGAAGGTGCGTTTGTCTGTTGAGTGTTTGTCTGATCAGCTGATTTCTCTGAACCCTGAGGTCTCGATGGTCCACTGAAGAAAACCAGAGAGAGAGAGAGAGAGAGAGAGAGAGAGAGAGAGAGAGAGGGAGAGAGAGAGAGAGAGAGAGAGAGAGAGAGAGAGAGAGAGAGAGAGAGAGAGAGAGAGAGAGAGAGAGAGAGAGAGAGAGAGAGAGAGAGAGAGAGAGAGAGAGAGAGAGAGAGAGAGAGAGAGAGAGGGAGAGAGAGAGAGAGAGAGAGACAGAGAGAGACAGAGAGAGAGAGAGAGAGAGAGAGAGAGAGAGAGAGAGGGAGAGAGAGAGAGAGAGAGAGAGGAGAGAGAGAGAGAGAGAGAGAGAGAAATAAAAGAATTAAAATGCAAAAATAAAATACACCAGAGAAAAATAGAAACTCAGAAAAAATAAAAAAGTAAAATAAATGAGATAACATTGAAAAAAAGAGTAAAAGATGAAATAAAAGAATTAAAGAAAAATAGCATGAAATAAAAACACCTGTTCACGTATCAGTTCCTCTTTTTAATCAATAAAACAATCAATTCTTTTAAACAAACTTCGGCTCCTAAATCTAAAAATCTGTTTAAGTTTGTTCTTCATGTAAATTTTTTTATTTCTCACTCTGATGAAAATATTTCCACATTTTTAAAAACACGTGAACTCAGAACGGCGTAGACGAGAATCAGAAGAAGAAGAAGCTCCGCCTCTTCTCTGCAGCTGAGGCTCACCACACTTTGTCTTTTTTAGGTTGAGAGGATATTTATGAAAACGAAGGTGCTGCTCTTCGCTCTCTGTGGAGGAAACTGTGCGTCTGACTCAGACCTGATCTTTTGAAGGTCAGTCACAGCGGGTTTCCTGCAGCCGTTAGTGTTCAGCCTCCACCTGCAGCAGAAAACAGGTCAGACTGCAAACTCTGCAACGCTCAACGCTCAACCTCTTCCTGACAAACACGTCAACACCGTTCTCTCATCTGAGGTTGCGGTGAGAAGGTTTCTTTTCCGGCGATCACAAACTTGATTTTTCTCACTCAGACGTGTGAAGATCAGCAGAGGCTGAAGGTCTGTCACACCTCACTGACATAAACTCAAACCTGAAGGAGAACTGAGGATCAACAAGTCCAATCAGAACAAGTTCTCAAACGTCCTCCTGACTCGAGTCAGGATGAAACTGAAGCAGCAGAGTCAAACATGGTCCTGTGAAGAACTTTGATTCTGGTTTTCTGTCTCTCCAGGATGTCGTGCAGAAAAGTCACTGCATCCCCCCGTCTCCTGTGGTCCACGTACGAGGACTCTGTGACGCCGTGGTGGAGGCCGATCTGGTGGAGGCGCTGGAGAAATTTGGAAACATCTGGTAAAGACCTAGATAATACTACTTCCTGTTCCTCAAGTGTCCACCAGGGGGTATCTCCAAAGTGAGTTCTGATAGAAGAACAACCAGACAGGTCCAAAGTTCTGATAGAGGAACGACCTCCTCTCCAGATCTGGTGGACGTAGATGTTCTGACACCAGAATGTTTCTGTAGGAGAAGAGTCCTGCTGAAGAACTGGACCGGTGCGGTTCTGACCTGTCCCTTCTCTAACAGAGCTGCTGTATTTGTCTGAGTTTTCCACAGAACCCACCTGTTCGTACCTGAGTGAGTAAGCCCCGCCCCCTCTAACCCCCCGTCTGCTCCCACCGCAGTTACGTGATGATGATGCCGTTCAAGCGTCAGGCTCTGGTGGAGTTCGATGGCGTGGCGAGCGCTGAGCGGTGCGTGTCTGTTGGAGCCCGTGAATCCGTCTGCGTCGCTGATCAGCAGGCGTTCTTTAACTTCTCCACCAGCCAGAGGATCAGCAGACCCACCAACGCCGCCGACCACCCCGGCGGCGGAAACAAAGTCCTGCTGCTGTCTGTACAGAACCCGCTGTACCCCATCACCACCGTAAGTCCAGAACCTCAGCCATCAGGTCTGAACTCAAACCCGGGCCCTGGTTTTACTCCGTTTGATTCAGATCACCATCATTGCCGTAACCATCATCTAGTTCTGTTTGAGTCCCTTTAAGTCCTGGAGACCCTCACAGATGGAGCTAAACTGTGTCCCTCTGTCCCTCAGGACGTCCTCTACGCCGTCTGTAATCCTGTCGCTAACGTCCTGCGCATCGTCATCTTCAAACGTAACGGCGTCCAGGCCATGGTGGAATATCCTGACCGATCAGCCGACGGAGTCTGAAGCGAGTCGACTGTCAAATATTCAGAGTCAAAAAAATTTAAAGTGTTCTGCTGCTTCCTGTCCTCTGATTGGTCTGCTGCTGATTATCCTTAACGAGCTCATTAACATTTGAGTCGGTGGAGGACGCGCAGAAGGTCAAACTGTCTCTGAACGGAGCCGACATCTACGCCGGCTGCTGCACGCTCAAGATCGAGTACGCTCGGGTAAACACACACACACACACACTGTGCTTCTGACAACACACACTCTACTGCATGCACACACACACAGCCTCACTCTCATGCCCACACACACACACACACACACACACAGAGGTGCTGTGCTCTGTCGCCCCCTGCAGCCCAACAGACTGAATGTGATCCGCAATGACAACAGCAGCTGGGATTACACCAGAGCCTTCCTGCTGCACCGAGGTAGGACAACACACACACACACACACACACACACACACACACACACACACACAGACGACAACAGAAAAAAAACAGAACCGGGTCAAAGAAGGACTCAGACCTTCAATGGGGGTCATCAAAAATCTGCTCAGGGTTGAAGAAGGACACGACAATCTGTGGAGGGGGGGGCGAAGAAAACAAAACGATTAATGAGAAAAAAAAACATGTCTGAAAAAATGAAATTAAAAATAGGAAAATTAATTTTATTGCGTGAAGAAAAACACTAACAGTGTAACAGTGTAACAGTGTTACAAAGCTACATAGTTACAGTATAACAGTGTAACAGTGTAACAGTGTTACAGTGTTGGAGTATAAGTGTTACAGTATTACAGTATTACAGTATTACAGTGTTCTATGTTAGCGTGTTACAGTGTTGGAGTATTAGTGTGTTAAAGTATTACACTGTTACAGTATTACAGTGTAATACTGTTACAGTGTAACAGTATTACAGTATTACAGTGTAACAGTATTACAATGTTACGACAGTATTACAGTGTAACAGTATTACAGTGTAACAGTATTACACTGTTACAGTGTTACAGTGTAACAGTGTTACAGTGTAACAGTATTACACTGTTACAGTATTACACTGTTACAGTGTTACAGTGTAACAGTGTTACAGTGTAACAGTATTACACTGTTACAGTGTTACAGTGTAACAGTGTTACAGTGTAACAGTATTACAGTGTAATACTGTAATACTGTTACAGTGTAACAGTATTACAGTATTACAGTGTAACAGTATTACAATGTTACGACAGTATTACAGTGTAACAGTATTACACTGTTACAGTGTTACACTGTTACAGTGTTACAGTGTAACAGTATTAATACTGTAATACTGTAACACTGTAACAGTGTTCCAGTGAAACAGTATTACAGTGTTACAGTGTTACAGTGTGACAGTATTACAGTGTTACAGTGTAACAGTATTACAGTGTTCCAGTGTAAAAGTATTACAGTGTTCCAGTGTAACAGTATTACAGTGTTACAGTGTAACAGTATTACAGTGTTACAGTGTGACAGTATTACAGTGTTCCAGTGTAACAGTATTACAGTGTTACAGTGTAACAGTATTACAGTGTTACAGTGTAACAGTATTACAGTGTTACAGTGTAACAGTATTACAGTGTTACGACAGTATAACAGTATTACAATGTTACGACAGTATTACAGTGTTCCAGTGTAACAGTATTACAGTGTTCCAGTGTGACAGTATTACAGTGTTACAGTGTAAAGAATTCCTGAGTGTCCCGCAGACTCACCTCCCGTCTTCAGATTCCTCAAAAATGTCCAGGTGCCTAAAAAACAGACAGAAACGTTTTATTTGCAGAACAGGTGAGAGCAGGTAAGAAGGCTGCTGATTGGTCAGAGGTACAGGTGAGGCAGTAGTTGGGAGAGGAGAGATGTTCCTGCAGAAGTGTCTCTGACCTCCAGACTCCCTGTGGACCCATGTGTCTGTCTGTGTGTCACAGAGCGAGGGACGGCGAGGGGGAGGCAGCGTCAGGCCATCCTCGGGGAGCATCCCTCCAATGGCTGCGGTACCCTCTATTTCTCCTTGTCTCCTTCTCTGTGTGTCCTTGTCACCTTCTCTATGTGTCCTTGTCTCTTTCTCTGTGTGTCCTCATCTCCTTCTCTGTGTGTCCTTGTCTCCTTCTGCAGTGTGTCCTTGTCTCCTACTCTGTGTGTTTCCTTGTCTCCTTCTTCAGTTCTGTTTATTCTTCCATCCCCTATGCAGGTCATCTCCGCCCCCTGCTGCCTCGACCCTGTAATAGCAGGTACAGGAGGAGCTGTGAGGAGGTGCAGGATTCCATCACCTACCCCCTGCTCCTCCCTAAGACCTTCTCCACCCTCTCGTCCTCCTCCTCCGCCTTCCTGGGCCCTGCTTCCAGCTCTGTTGCCATGGTGAGCGGCCTCCATGCCACCAAGATGAACTGCAGCCGCGTCTTCAACCTCTTCTGTCTCTATGGTAACGTGGAAAAGGTGTGTGTGTGTGTGTGTGTGTGTGTCTCCTCCTGATGTTCAGGTCGACCAGGTTGGAGTGTTTGAATAATGAAGGTCTGACTGTTGGTGTTTGAAGGTGAAGTTCATGAAGAGCGTCCCCGGCACGGCGCTGGTGGAGATGGGGGATGAGTACGCAGTGGACCGAGCTGTGACCCACCTTCACGGCATCAAGGTGTTTGGACAAAAACTCAGTGTTTGGTAAGGAAGGTCGGCCATCTTTACGCCGATTCAAACCTGGAGGAGATGTGGACAAACCTTCATAACGCTCGTTCAAAAATATCCGAATATTTCCTCTAAAATCTCGAGGTTCCGATAAGTAACCACAATCATTGTCAAAAGACCACGTGTCCCAGGACCAGCAGAGTCTTTCCACAAATATGAGACACGGTCCAAGTGAAGAAACCGTCCCCCTTAGAAAGAATCATTTTAAAGGACGTCTTTAGACGTCCAAACAGACGGCACAGTCGTCCACCCAACAGCACAAACATGTCCTCTAAAAACAAAGTCCTTCCTCTCACTGCTATCGTCCCTCTTCAACCTGTCCTCTCCCTGTCCTCATGTGTCCTCTCCTGTCCTCACAGTGTGTCCAAGCAGCAGGCTGTGATTCCCAGTCAGGTCTTTGAGTTGTCTGACGGCAGCAGCAGCTACCAAGACTTCAGCCTGACCAGAAACAACCGCTTCAGCGGCTCACAGAGCGGCAGGAACATCATCCAGCCGCCCGCCGCAGTCCTGCACTTCTACAACGCCCCGCCCACTTTCAGCCGGCAACAACTAAACCAGGTGAGGAACACCTGAGATACATGCTTTACTGCAGAAACAGGAGCTGGAGATGATGGAGGAGGGTGGAGAACTGACCGAGGGAGCTTCTGAGAAAGACTGTTACTGTAAAAGAAAAGGGGGCCCAGCGTGGAGCCCTGTGGGACACCTCTGATCATCAAAGGGGGCCCAGCGTGGAGCCCTGTGGGACACCTCTGATCATCAAAGGGGGCCCAGTGTGGAGCCCTGATTTTTCTGATCTGTCCTCTCTTTGTCCGTCTGTAGCTCTGCACCGAACACAACGTCCCAGTTTTCATCAAGTTTAAGGTGTTTGACGCCAAACGTAAGTTCAGCCAATCAGACGCAGTTTAAAGGCGAGGACTGACTCTGTCACCTTAAAGAAAATACTTTTCTTTACCTCTTCCTCTTCCTCCTCCTCTTCCTCTTTGTCTTCCTCTGTCCCATCAGCCTCCTCAAAGACTCTGTCCGGTCTCCTGGAGTTTGACAGTAAAACTGAAGCTGTGGAAACGCTGACTGTCCTCAACCACCACCAGATCAGGATACCCAGTGAGTACTCACCTGACACACAGGTAACACCGCAGGAACCAATCAGGAAGGGGAAGTTAAGACTGAGGTCAAACCTGGTCCCAAAAGTGCAGTTCCTCTTATGTCCACCAGAGGCCGTCATTTCAGTTTGATTTCATCCTGTCTGGAGCTCAAAAAGGCTCTTCGAACCCGAGCTGAGACACCTGACACTGGGACAGCAGTCCGTCTGTCTCTCCGTCTCTCCGTCTCCTGTAGTCTTCATGTTTATATCAGACTCGTTCTCTCTCTGCTCTTCGTTGTTGTTGTTGTTGTTGTTGTTGTTGTTGTTGTTGTTGCTGTTGTTGTTGTTGTTCTTGTTGTTGTTGTTGTTGTTGTTGTTGTTGTTGTTGTTGTTGTTGTTGTTGTTGTTGTTGTTGTTGTTGTTGTTGTTGTTGTTGTTGTTGTTGTTGTTGTTGTTGTTGTTGTTGTTGTTGTTGTTGTTGTTGTTGTTGTTGTTGTTGTTGTTGTTGTTGCTCTTCGTTGTCATTGTTTGGTTTATAAATGATTTGACCACTAGAGGTCAGGATTCCCTTAAACTGCAGGGTCAGGACTGTATCTTTCTGTCTGATGCGAGTTTCTCTCTGTGTTTCTGTCTCCGACCTGCAGACAGCTCCACCCCCTTCACCCTCAAACTCTGCTTCTCCACCTCCTCCCACCTGTGACCAAGGAGAAGAAGTCCTCCACAGTCCTGGTCCTCCAGATCAAACAGCAGAAGAAGAAAGAGACAGAGACGTTTTTCCTTTTTCCTCGGAGGACTGAGACGTCTGTGGGGAAGAAGGCGGTGAGACCGTTAAAGATAAACCTTAGTTCCTGCCGTGGGAAGGATTAAGGTTCCTGTTACTTCAGTTTACAAAATAAAAGCACCTTTGTCACCGTGTAATGGTCCAGATAAACTTCATGTTTGGAGCTTCATTCAATCCAACATGAGGATCAGGATCCTCCAAACTCAGGGAGAAATCCATCAAACTACGAAACAATCAAGATCCCGACAAAAAACGTTCTGTCTGATCTTTAAAGGTGCAGTCCGTGGATTTTGTCTGAGCAGACTTTTATTCTGAAGAACTTTGTTTGTGTTTGTGTGAAACCTCCTAAATAGAAGAACAAACAAAGAACCGTTTTTATCTTCAGAGGATCAGGAAATCTTCTGGGAGGCGACCATCTCGGCCATGTTTCTACATACTCGGCCATCAACGTGTCTCAAGACGTCTTAAGACAAAAGTTTGAAGATGTCGCCATGTCTGAAGACATCCCAGAGCAGAAAATAGGATCATCTTAAAATGTCTGAAGACCCATGTCTGTAGACACCTCTTATAGACATGTCTTGACTTACCAAGACGTCTCGAGACGTCTCAGCAAATGTGACACATCTCAAGACGTCTTGAGACACTTTGATGGCTGGGTGTGTATGGTAGCAGACAGTGGACAAACTACATGTTTAGAGTTTTACTGAGAGAAGAAGAAGAAGAAGAAGAAGAAGAAGAAGAAGAAGAAGAAGAGCGTGTTTCTTGTGTTTTTATCGTCAAAGTTATCACACATCCTCGGGGATTCCTGTCGAAGCTACGGTCAGACTGTTAGTTACCAGGTAATATTCTCACTCCGACACGCCGTAGTTTAGATTTAAGCTGGAGTTTGAGTCGTGTTATTCTTCTGTAGGTTATTTGAGTTTAGCGCCTCCTGCCTGCGACAAACCAAACTGTAACTTTCTGACTAAGAAGTCCTCCTGATTTATTCTGAACGTGAAATGACGACCATGAAAATGAAGGAGTCTGTAGACTGTTAGCAGGGCTGATGGTCTGCTCAGGTCTGCTCAGGTCTGCTCATATCGAGGTGTTGGTGTTTTTACTCAGAGCTGTAAAAATAAAACAAACAGTGAAAAGTTTTGACATGTTTAATTCTGTGAATATCTCTGATTAACAAACTTTCTACTTTAAAGACGTGCTCTTAAAGTGCTGTGTGTGTGTGTGTGTGTGTGTGTGTGTTATCCTAACACTGTTTCACTGTTTTATTCAACTTTTTAAAATAAAGAAGAAACGTCTTTAAATGTCAAACGTTGAAATAAAAGCAGCGTGTTTAAAATCACTTTGAAATTAAAGTCAGAATACAGAAACGTTTTATGATATAACAGTCAAAAAATAAAGATCTTAAGTAACGAAAAAAACATTTTGAAATGTTTAAAATGAAAATGTTGAAATAAATTTAATCTTTAAGGTCTTTGACGTTTGTTTTGACTAATAAAGTCATTTTACTCCCTGTGTGTGTGTTCGTGCAGACGTTTTTATCTTCTTTAAAATATTTATTTCAAACTCTTTATCTGAAGAAACGGCCTGAAAACAAAGATCGGGTTATTTAGAAACCCGACGTCTCTGTTAGGACGTCATGTGACAGACTGACCCGGCAGGACTCACCTCCAGCCTGAACCCTTTGTTGGGTCTTGGTGGGGTCTGGACCGACTCTTTTGGTCAACTGTTTACAGATAAACTGAGTCAGAACTCTGTAGTCCAGGTCTTTGTTGAAAGGACACCTGGACCTGGACCTGGACCTGGACCTGCTCGAAGTTCTTGCCTGAGGTGACATGTCAGAGTCGGAATCAGAGTCGCCTTTATTGTCTTTGTACACCGAACAACGACGTCTGAAATCTGCCCTTCCTGAAGTTCAGTTGGAGGTTGTTCACCGAACGCCACGCAGACGCTCTGTTGACCTCAGGTCTTCAAGAACTTTTAGCAAGTCCAGATACCCTTCAACCTGGACCAACGAGAACCCACAAGGACATGTCTGAGTAACATGTGACCATGACCTCTAATAACAAGTCCAGATCTCATGAAAGTCCAGTCCAACAGAAACTGGACTCTAAGCTGGAGCAGGACTGTGGGAATACAGGGGACAGGACCCAAAGGCAGACCGGGACCAAAGAGTGGTCCCTGCAGTCCTGTCAGTCATTGGCTAACAGGATCTGAGGTCTGAGGAGACGAGAGCGGAAACGTTTCAAACCAGGAGCAGCTGATCTGAGAGGGTCCAGAAACTGAAGGGGGTCTGGAAGGACCAAGGATGAACCAGCATGGAGACTCTGAGGAAACCAGCAAAGATCCAACAGGAAGTAGGAGAAAAGTCATGTGGGCTACGTTATCAGCTCTCAGTGTCTGATAACTGGAGCTCCTGCTGTCAGTCGGCCATGTTTCTACAGGCAGAGTTCAGGCGGCGGACCGGACTGTCGTCTGATAACCACGGGAACATGTGGAGGCTGCACAGACGCCACACCTGACAGGAAACAGGTCAGCGTTTGAAACTGCCGCCATCATATCAGACTACTGCAACAGTAAAAGTCTGCAGTCCCAGCATGCACTGGGTGGTCGTTGGAAACAGGACAGTCTTCCTGATCGACAGAGAGTGACGACAGGGAGCTGCTGACCGTCTCCATCCAGATCCATTTAGTACGGAGGGAGTCACAAGAACTCCAGAACAAGAGCTCACATTCAGAACGAGTTAGTCCTGGTCTGGACCGTCAGAGATCCAAAACCCCCGAGGACTGAAAACCAGAGAGGAGGAGAAGAAGAAGGAGGAGGAGGAGAAGAAGAAGGAGGAGGAGGAGAAGGAGGAGGGGGAGAAGGAGGAGGAGGAGAAGAAAAGATGAAGAAGGAGAAGAAGGAGGAGAAGAAGAAGGAGAAGAAGAAGAAGGAGGAGGAGGAGGAGAAGGAGGAGAAGAAGAAGAAGAAGAAGAAGAAGAAGAAGGAGGAGGAGAAGGAGGAGGAGGAGGAGAAGAAGAAGAAAAGAAGAAGGAGAAGTGTGGAGAAGAGTGAAAGAGGAAAAATGATCAAATCCTTTTAAAAAAGTTTTTTGATTTCATCAACATGAACCTTTAATTACAATAAAGTTTTTAGAAAAAACAATAAAGTTTTTAGAAAAAAACTTTATTAAAAACTTTTTCTTTAGCAAAAATACAAAAAATAAAGACGTTATAGAAGAACAACCAAACAGGTCCAAAGTTCTGATGCTAAACAAACATCTAGAGGAACATCTCCAACTAATATGGAGGTGAAGGTCCAACAGGTTAGTCACATGACCGGGTCTAAGACGGACCTTCAGAGAGGCGGAGTCTCTCAGAGGTTCAGGACTCTGTGAGTGACTGTGTGAGCGAACAGTTCAACAGTTTCAGAATAAAGTTCCTGAGTGGATTTGGACCAGGACCAAAACAAGGACTGGATGGTCCTGATCTTCAGGGTGTTAAAAACAGAGAGGACTCTGGAGTGGGAATCACCGCATAGACTCAGAATCACTGACTGTGAACTCAGATCATCACTGCATCTACGAATGAGGTTCAGACTGGACCCTGGGAGCTGGTCAGAGTTAGGTTCCTGGTTCCTCTGCTCTGAAGAGTGGACCTTCTGGACTCACAGGACCACAGCACGGTTCTGTAGAGTCCAGGAAGTGGGAAACTGTCCTCAGATCTGATATATTAGATGTGACATTCTTTTGATGTTTTTGTTTTCTGTTTCATACTTTAAAAAAAATGTGTTTGTGTTTGAAAAAAATATCTTTTTTATTTTATAAAATTTTCCTGGGAAATTTTTTCACTCTTTAATGAAATTCTGTCCTACATTTTATTTATTATTTATATCTTTTGATTTTCAAAGTTTTTTTGTTCGGATTATTTATAATTTTGTCGTTATTTTTTGATAAATAATGTTTTATGTGTATTTGTGATCGAACCTTCACAGACTGCATGAATTGATCTCCTAAAGATTTGGTCACATGATTAATTTCTCTGACCATCTTTGGCTCATCCTACCCCGGTCTCCCCTACTCAGTTTGGACCGTTAGGGGGCGGGGCTAAACCTCTGTATTTAGGACCACGCGGACACCGCGGCGGCTTTGAGCTCGGTGACGTCAGAGCTGCTTGTTAGAGCAGCAGGTCAGCAAAGATGGCGGCGGAGGAGAGCAGGTTGAAGCAGCGGAACCACAAAAACAGCATCTTCACAGACGGTAAGACTCTACAGACCGAGACTTCACGGACGGTACCGACACCGGAGAGGGCGGGGGGTGTTTCCTGATTGTGCGGAGGGTCCGGTTCTGATCCGGTTCGGGTATTTAGTGTGTTTTCTAGACGATAAAACGGGATGAAACGGTCCGTTTCGACGGATAAACGCATCTCTCCCGCTAAGATTTAGCGCTCTTAGCCCTGTCTGTTTACTGTCACTGTGAAAAAAACACGGCTCTTAGTCAGCACAGACTCGGACCCACGGCTGAGTTCGGGTGGTTCTGCCCGGTGTGAAGTCCGGGATATCCACGATAAGCCGTCCGGGGCTGTCCTTCAGCAGCTGCTCCGGGGTTTGTTGTTAGCATGTCGGCTAATCCAGCTGCCGTCAGCCTCCTCTTTATTAAAACACACACACACACACACACACACACACACACACACACACACACACACACACCTGTCCAGCTCCAGGTTCTCTTCATGCTGGTTTCAGTCGAACCCTCTCAGTGATTTTAGTCCAACAGACTCTGAACTGAGAGTCAAACTTGGTTCGGATGAAATGTGGGAAAAGGTCCAAATGTGGACCTGATCAGAACTCTTAGTGAAAACCTCCATCCTAAAGAAACGGTCAGAACCCTGACCAGAACTATCGGTACTGTCAGCTTCACCGGACAGAACCTCAATGCAGACTACTGAGTCATGGTCAAGGTCCATCACCAACCAGAACTCAGAACCCTGACCCGGACCTCAGGACTGGGTCGGGATTCTTGGTAAAGGATGCAGTGAAAATATCTCAGAATCAGACAAACTGGACCCTGAAGAAGACCGGACTGAACTCATGACCGACTCCGAACCGTCCATGGTTGGACCCGGTTTAGAAGACTGCAGTTCAGGGATCGAGCTCAGGCTAATGTGACGGCGCTGATGGACCTGATGGACCTGATGGACCTGATGGAGGGTGAGGGGTTTTTGTCTAAAAGTGGGGACGAGGCAGTCGAACAGAAAACTTAAACCAGACTGTAAACCCGGGATTTTAAACCCGGGTTCAAGTTCTGGACCGAGGCAGGAAAGGCTGACGACTGTAGATACAACATCTACCTCAGTTTGACTGTCTATGATGATAATAATAATAATTATTATTATTATTATTATTATTATTATTATTAGAGCTGGTGGAGGTCACATGGTTTCAAAGTAAATCTGTGTAAACGGTCCAAGTACCGAACTGGACCAGCTGGTCTCGTGGAAAACCAGATGGTTTCAGGAAATGAATGTAAAGGGAGTTTTTTACTTTTATTTATTTATTTATTTTGTCAATTAAACATAAGAAACACGTTTTCAAATGTCCAAGTTAACGAGAAGGTCGACTCGTCCACCAAACGCCATTTTCTTTCTGAGGACTCGGCCTGATCAGCAGCTCTGATTGATTTGATTGATGACCTCATAATTGAAGAAAAACATTTAAACTCCGATAAAGTCTTTTTTAGGGAATGATCAGATAGTGGGCGGGGCCACTGCTGCTCTTGTTTGTGGTTTTCAGACAGTAAAAACTCCTGAGTGCAGCTTTAAAATGTTTGAGAGACGAGGTGGTGAGGGTGTGTAGATACACGAGTGTGTTCACAGTAGGTGTTGTATCTTGTTGTGTAGGCTGAGTGTGTACACAGTGGTGTCTGTGTTTGTGTTGTGTGAGGATGACACGGTGGTGGATAACATCATGATCAGGGAGGTCTGCGTGACGACCTAAAGTGGGTGGGTGTGGGACACCTGTGAGGTGGACAGGTGTGAGACTTTTCTGTCCCTGAGACGGTGAGGGTCATGGTTTGAACCCTCCCCCTCGGCCTCGTGTTTCTTATCGGTGTTATCACGCTCCTCTCTGGGGGGGGGGGGGGTGTTCTTGGTGTTTGACCTGCTTGTTGTTCTCACAGCTGCAGAGATCTGCACACGGCGCCCTGAAGTGGGTCAGAGAACGGAGTCATGTGAGTCTATACATCATTGTACTGCTGTGGTGATCCTCTTACTGCAGGTCTGGAGCTCCTGAGTTCAAGGTCTCTGAGTGGAGCTGGTTTCCTCCCTGAAAACAGACCCCCATAGATGGACCCGGAAATCTGAGTCTTCTTCATGAACGTCCCACTGAGGGGAAGTCTTGGTTGAAACCTGGTCCCAACAAAAGTTCTTGTTTTTGTCCCAGAAGGACCAACGAGGTCCAACGGTAGGAGAAGAGTCCTGGACTGATGCGGTCCTGACCTGTCCCCCTTTTTTAAAATCAAGACTTTATTCCCGAACTTTAGAAGAACTGGGACTTTTAAGTCGGGTCTGATCTACTGATCTGGACTTTTTTGAATTGGTCCACCTGGTCTGGGTCAACGTAGGTCATCCTGAACCTTGGGTCCAGCAGAAAGACCATGTCCAAGAGTCCCCCCCCGACAGGGTCTCTGGATCTGTCCTCATGGTTCTATCCCAGTCTGGTGATTAGGTCCAGTAAGAGGATCTGACCTGGTACCAGAATACCAGGAGAGTTCATGATGATCCGGCTGAAGGTCTCTGAGAAGAACCAGTCTGACCAGTGCTGCAGACTGGTTTGGTTCCAGTCTCTGAAGGTTTATTTGTAACATGGGGTTCTATGGGGACTCGCCCACTTTTAGAGACAGCCTCTAGTGGACAGTGGAGGAAGTGCAGATGTTTCCAGTCAGCGTGTTTCTGGAGGAGACGAGCGTTCGTTTGTGTGTCTGTGTGAATCAGCAGACTGTTGTCAGTGTGTCCTTGTGTTGTTGTTGTTGTTGTTGTTGTTGATCGATCAGACTCAAGTGTGAAACTGTGGGGTCTCGCTGCTGCGTCTGTCCGCTGTCATGGTTTCATGGTCCTCTTCATCCCTGATCTTCTCTGTGACGATGAATCGGATCAATATTTCTGATCGGACGACATTTCTCTCTGATTTCTCAGTTTTATTTCGCTGCTGCCCTTTGACCTTTCTCTGCATGACGAGGCCCTGAGAGCGTTTGTTTCTTCTTCTTCTCTGTTTTGTACAGAGGAAGTCATGATTGTCTTCAGGCGGCGTCCGTCCCGCACAGAGAGAACACTGAATGAAGCGGATCACTGCTGCTCTCACAGCCGCGGTCACATGACGCTCAGAAAGGCGTCTTAACCGTTTTTATGACTGCCTGCACGGCGCTCTTCCTCCTCATGACGATGATCAGAGCTCACATGGCGGCTCCTCGCTGACCTGAATGAAGACTCCTCTTCTCCATCCTCCCATGAGGCCGCGGGCTGCTGCCCGGCGATCACGCCATGACGACAGGAATTTTCAGCTTCACTCAGTTTGTCGGAAAAACAAGATCTCTGTGTCTCTGCAGCCAAATATGTCCTGATCTCCAGAGTCGGCCGAGTGTATCTGCTGCCTTACAAGGAGACTGAGAGCGGCTCGGTCTATTTACTGTAAATGTCCATCACAGCAGCAGACGCTCTCCTCCGTGAAGCTTCAGGGTCAACATCAGAGCTTATTGATTATCTATCAGACAGAGACACGGGGGACAAACCAACACCTGAGACTTCTGAGTCCATCTGAGGTGGACTGACGGGAAGAGGGGACCTGACCCTCGGTCTGATGGCTAAAGGAAAGGACAACTGGACTTAGTCGAGATGTTTCTCCTCAGGCGAAACGTCTCGACTAAGTCCAGCTGTCCTTTCAACGAAGAACTAGAAATCATAGATGTTACATCCTCAGTTTTAAACAAGATCTCCAGGACTAGGAGGAACATCTGCGTCCATCCAGACCTGGACTTCTTCAGGGAGGACCTTCATGTGATCCAGAACCACATTCTGACAACAGCATGGTTCTGTAGGAGAAGAGTCAGGTCTCGACAGTGCGACCATTTCACTGCCACTAAAAATAGATGTGTGTGAATTCTCAAATCTATTTAGGGTCAAATGTGCGAATAAAAAAAATCAACAAATGTTTTTTATTTTTCCTGTAAATACGGCGGTGAAGTTAGTTTCAGGTTGGATATATTTTCCTGTAAATACAGCGGTGAAGTTAGTTTCAGGTTGGATATATTTTCCTGTAAATACGGCGGTGAAGTTAGTTTCAGGTTGGATATATTTTCCTGTAAATACGGCGGTGAAGTTAGTTTCAGGTTGGATATATTTTCCTGTAAATACGGCGGTGAAGTTAGTTTCAGGTTGGATATATTTTCCTGTAAATACGGCGGTGAAGTTAGTTTCAGGTTGGATATATTTTCCTGTAAATACGGCGGTGAAGTTAGTTTTAGGTTGGATATATTCTCCTGTAAATACGGAGGTGAAGTTAGTTTTAGGTTGGATATCTGACGGACATTCTCTGAGGATCTACCGTTGTGTCTTCTCACTCTCCATAACCGGGAATAAGAACAGCGGCGCGGTTAGAGGCGGGGTCAGCAGGAATCTTGTTGTTCTGGCGTTTTTACCCCCGCTGCCCCCCCCCCCCCCCCCCCCCCACTCTCTTTTAATGCCGAATATCGAAAAACCAAATTGATCATGTTTTTATATTTATATGGAGGGAAAATAATTTTAGATATCGTTATTGTTTTATGGCCCAGCACTAATTGGGACTCTGTGTGTGTGTGTGTGTGTGTGTGTGTGTGTGTGTGTGTGTGTGTGTGTGTGTGGTGGGGGGGTTCATTCAGTGACTCGGATCACAAATCCACCTGTGACCCTGTTTTTGTCTCTCAGGGGGTCTGAAACCAGACAAGCCCACCATGTCACATGACGAGGATGACGACGACAGCCTGCTGGAGGAAGATGTGGGCGTGGCCCGGCCGGTGCAGATCGTCATGGCGAATGAGGAGGAGCACTCGTTCTCACTGCAAGAGGAGGCGCTGGAGCGGCTGCTGCTCCAGGAGGAGGTGCAGGACCTTCACGTGGTCGTGGTCTCTGTGGCCGGAGCTTTTCGTAAGGGCAAGTCCTTCCTGCTGGACTTCATGCTGCGTTACATGTACAAACAGGTAAACCGCCGACCGCCGTGACGGTGTGTTCAGAGAGGAGCGGCGCCTCTTTACAGCCGTCTGATTTAAATGTTTAAACGTCATCTTTGCTGCGTCGTTTTCACATCAGGTAGTCCGACGTACTCAAGAGTCACTGTTTACCGCTGGACCTTGGATTTGACTCCGCCCACAGTCCAGGTTCAGTTTGATGGAGTTTCCTTCAGATTTATCAGTGATGTTCTGATCAGATATCAAGGATTATTATTTGTATTCATAAACAGAATCTTGTTAATTTTCCGTCCGATGACGTCTAGAACTGTTTCATTTCCCAACAATCCCACAAAGATGTGTTTCTGTTTCACTCTGGTGTCACCGTGGCGATGAATTCAGGTTAAATTTATGACGTTGGGATGGAGAAATATGAGCTCTGTGTCGGAGCTTCAGTCACATGACCCTCCCTCGCTCTTCCACGGGTCACTCCGGCTATCATCCGTTTTTCTAACATCAACTTCTTTTTCCCATCGTCAGTTTTCTCCTTTTATTGGCGGTGAGCATCAACAGGAAGTTAAAGTGTAGGTGTGCGTGGAGGTAACTGCACGAGTTCATCTGTGAGGTGACCTTCGGCCTCGTTAATCACAGTAAGCACCGAGGAACGTTCTGGAGGGTTACGTAGTCCTCCAAAGAGGATTTAGGTCGGGCACAATGCCCGCTCTGTCTCTGGGGGGGGGCCTCTGCGGAGCTCCCGGCTCTGTTTTTATTCGCACAAAAGGCCGTCTTTCTGCATAAGATAAGCCCCGCCCACAACAGGGTCGCTGACATGACCTGACCCTAACATGACCTCTGCGTGGAGTCAGGAAAGATCAGGGACTTCTTTGACGGGGGACAGTTTTTCCAGTCCCAGAGTTCTGAGACTGAAGACCAGATCCTGGATCAAAGTAAGAATTCCGACTTTCTGAACAGAACCGGGTCAGAACTCTTGGATTACTCGTTCAGATCCGGGTCAGAATTCAGAGAGAAATTAACCTGAAAATTTTCAGTCAAAGTCCAAATCTCCGAGTCCTCTCAGAATTTTCTCTTCCGTGGTCGTCGTCGTTTTCTTCCGCTTCATCCTGGTCCGGGTCGTGTGGTCAGCAGCTTCAGGAGGGAAGTCCAGACGGTCCTCACCCCGGACACCTCCACCAGCTCCTCCTCCGGGGGGACTCCCAGGCGCTCCCAGACCAGGACAGAGATATAATCCCTCCTTCTGTCTCTTTCCAGTCGGCTGATTTGTGGGTCGGCGGGGAGGAGGAGCCTCTGACCGGCTTCTCCTGGAGAGGCGGCTGTGAGCGGGAGACAACGGGGATCCTGGCGTGGAGTGAGGTGTTTGTGGTGGAGAAACCAGACGGCTGTAAGGTGAGTCCACAGGCCGCCATGATGGATTCTTGTAGATGTTTGACCTCTGACCTGACACCTCCCGGTCCGCTGTTTCAGGTCGCAGTTCTGCTCATCGACACACAGGGGGCGTTTGACAGCCAGTCCACCATTAAAGACTGCGCCACACTCTTCGCTCTGAGCACCATGACCAGCTCCGTTCAGGTCAGCCGTCCCTCTGAAAAGGTCAAAGGTCAACAGGGTGGGGGACCAGCAGACTGACAGGTGTGCTGTTTGTGTTCCAGGTCTACAACCTGTCCCAGAACGTTCAGGAAGACGACCTGCAGCACCTCCAGGTCAGTATCTGAGAGTTTGGTCCTGTAGAGAGGCCCCGCCCCCTTTGTCAGTGTAAGAGCCGCTCCATGAGGGGGCGGGGTTTCGCATCCACAGGAGTCCAGGGTCCTCATTTATCAACCGTTCGTACAGACGTGTTTTAGTCACGACTTCGTACGAACGTTAAAGTCTGGGACTGATCGACGTGTAAACTCTGAGTAAACTCGTACACTCAAACCCTAGTGGTCGAACAGTGAAACTACAACTAGAACCATTAAAGGAGTCACAGCGCTCAGCGATCTCAGACTTCACACATGTTCTCTGTTACCTCTGTACAAAACTGATCAATCGGTTATTGATCAGACATTTTCAATGATCGGAGTGACAAACTATCAAATCAGCTGAGAGAGGACAACCTCAGAGGAAGTCTGACAAGTACAAACACAAGTACAAGTACAAATACAAGTACAAGTACAAACACAAGTACAAGTACAAACACAAGTACAAGTACAAGTACAAGTACAAGTACAAGTACAAATACAAGTACAAGAACAAGTTCAAGTACAAGTACAAATACAAGTACAAATACAAGTACAAGTTCAAATACAAGTACAAATACAAGTACAAGTTCAAATACAAGTACAAATACAAGTACAAATACAAGTACAAGTACAAGTACAAGTACAAGTACAAGTACAAGTACAAATACAAGTACAAGAACAAGTTCAAGTACAAGTACAAATACAAGTACAAATACAAGTACAAGTTCAAATACAAGTACAAATACAAGTACAAGTTCAAATACAAGTACAAATACAAGTACAAATACAAGTACAAGTACAAGTACAAGTACAAATACAAGTACAAGTACAAGTACAAGTACAAGTACAAATACAAGTACAAGAACAAGTTCAAGTACAAGTACAAATACAAGTACAAATACAAGTACAAGTACAAGTACAAATACAAGTACAAGTTCAAATACAAGTACAAATACAAGTACAAGTTCAAATACAAGTACAAATACAAGTACAAATACAAGTACAAGTACAAGTACAAGTACAAATACAAGTACAAGTACAAGTACAAATACAAACACAAGTCTCCTGGTTTATTTTGTTCTGTTGGAGGACTTGGAGAAGCGTCTGCTCCTCCTCCTCCTCCTCCTCGTGCTGATCAGTTCAGTGAGAACTCAGAGTGGATTCTCAGCAGGAACCGCTTCCTCAAAAACCTCTGAATGGATTTATGATCAGAGATTTACAGCCGTGTCGGAGTGAGAGACAAAACGCTCCAACGCCATCATCGCCGTGACCATCCAGCTCCTGTCCACGCTTACCCGACATCTCAGCCTGAGATCGGAGACAAAGACGACATTTCACAGACAACGCTAACAGAATCATGTCGGCAGAGTTGACCTCTGACCTCTGACCTCTGACCTGACTGAGTCCCGCAGATTAACAGCAGCTTCTCTGTGAAATCTCAGGTTCCGGTCTCAGGATTGAGACCTGATCCTCAGCCTTATGAGGCAGGACCGGTCTCAGTCCGGGACCCATATTTGGTGTTTTTCTGATGGTTCGAGTCTCTGCAGGTTTAAAGGCTTATGTGGGCCGATCCGAACCTTCTGACCTTCTGTGTTTGATCCTCCTCAGCTCTTCACCGAGTACGGACGGCTCGCCATGGAGGAAGTCTACGAGAAACCCTTCCAGGTACAGTCTTTGATCAGCGCCTGTAGACCAGTCCCCCCCCCAGAGATGAGGAAGTCCTCTGTGACTCAGTCAGACCTTTTCATTCTGAACTGACCCGGTACCGGTCCAGTGATACAGGACCAAAAGAAACCGGTCTGTTCCTGAAGCTCCTGTGAGGAACTGTCTGTCAGGGGGAAACTAGCGCCCCCCTGTGGACAAAACTCTCCTTCCTTGTTCTGTTGAAAAAGGCCGTTTTTCCCTTTTTAGAAAAAAAAAAAGTTTTAAGTTTTTAAAAAGTTTTAAAAAAGTAAAAAAAAGAAAAAAAAACGGCGTTGCTGGTTCAGGAGACCTCGGTTTGTTTCCTGTTGAAGGTTTGTTTGTTATTGATCCAGAAGACCTGAATGTTTGTGTCTGCGTAGACTCTGATGTTCCTGATCCGGGACTGGAGTTACCCCTATGAGCACCCGTACGGTCTGGAGGGAGGACAGAGCTTTTTGGAGAAGAGACTTCAGGTGAGTTTGAGGACCAGGCTGAAGACTCTAGTGATGATGATGATGATGATGATGAAGGTGAAGGTGTCTTTGATACTGACCTGTGTGTGTGTGTGTGTGTGCGTACGTGCGTGTTTCTCCCAGGTGAAGCAGAACCAACACGAAGAGCTGCAGAACGTCAGGAAACACATCCACTCCTGCTTCTCCAACATCAGCTGCTTCCTGCTGCCTCACCCCGGACTCAAGGTCGCCACCAACCCGCACTTCGACGGACGCCTCCGAGGTAAAGGGGTCAGGGGTCAGGAGCTGAGGAGCCCTGCGTGGCCCGGGACCTTCTGTAAAGACCTGTAACACTCTGCTGTCGTGTGATTGGTTCCCGTGTCTCAGATATCGACGGCGAGTTTAAGAAGGAGCTGGTGAACCTGGTCCCCACGCTGCTGTCCCCGGAGAACCTGGTGGAGAAGGAGATCGGGGGGGTGAAGATCACCTGCAGAGACCTGCTGCACTACTTCAAAGTGAGTAAATACAGGTCTACTGCACACGCTCAGTCTGAGTCAGGTGTCTGGACTGGACCTGAACCCGGATCCTGAACCCGGAGCCTTAACCAGGACCCTGCAGATGTACTTGTATGTCTCTGGAGTCTCTGCCTTTATTGATCCATCCGACGTGTTTTTCAGGCCTACATGAAGATCTATCAGGGAGAGGAGCTTCCTCACCCCAAGTCCATGTTACAGGTCAGATCATCACAGTCTGTCAAACAGCTCCACCTGCTGGACGCTTCAGATCATCACAGTTTTTCTGAAACACTAAACTTTTGAACAACTTCAGATTTATCAACGACTTTTAATCAGTTATTAAATAGATTTTTATTAGTTATTAAATTGATTTTTAATGAGTTATTTAATTGATTTTTATTAGTTATCAAATTGATTTTTAATGAGTTATTAAATTGATTTTTTATTAGTTATTAAATTGATTTTTAATTAGTTATTAAATTGATTTTTAATGAGTTATTAAATTGATTTTTAATTAGTTATTAAATTGATTTTTTATTAGTTATTAAATGGATTTTTATTAGTTATTAAATTAATTTTTTATTAGTTATTAAATTGATTTTTTATTAGTTATTAAACAGATTTTTTATTAGTTATTAAATTGATTTTTTATTAGTTATTAAACAGATTTTTTATTAGTTATTTAATTGATTTTTTATTAGTTATTAAACTGATTTTTCGGTTTACTGTAACTGTTTGTTTCTTGTTTTGATTTCAGGCGACAGCTGAAGCCAATAACCTCGCCGCTGTAGCCGGAGCCAAAGACGCGTACAACAAAAGCATGGAGCAGGTAACGACCTCACCTGGAGATACCAGAACACTCCGTTTGTTTGGACACAGAACCGTCACGCAGAGTCCTCCAACAGGACCGCTGAGTCTGTGGGTCGGGTTTTGTAAAGAGAAGGTGACCTCGTGATGTTTTGGTTTCCAGGTCTGCGGCGGAGACAAACCCTACATCTCGCCGACAGAGCTGGAGCGCCGTCACGTGGAGCTGCGGCAGGCGTCGGTGCGACACTTCCGCTCAGTGAAGAAAATGGGTGGCGAAGATTTCTGTCGGCGTTATCAGGAGCAGCTGGAGGCGGAGCTTGACGAGGCGTACGCCAACTTCAGCAAACACAACGACGGCAAGAACATCTTCTACGCGGCGCGAACGCCGGCCACGCTGTTCGCCGTCATGTTCGTCATGTACGTCACGTCCATGGTCACTGGCTTCGTGGGCATCAACTCTGTGGCCACAATGTGTAACTTGGTGATGGGAGCGGCGCTGACGGCGCTCTGCGTCTGGGCCTACGTCAAATACTCCGGGGAGTTCCGTGAGGTGGGCGGAGTCATTGACCAAGTGGCAGAAACTCTGTGGGAACAGGTGAGGGGGCGGTCCGATGTAGACCTGTTTGTGTGTCTCTGCTGAGTCCTTCAGGTTTGAGGGTCTGAAGGTTCTGAAGGATCTGGATTCAGTTTGTGGAGGTTCTTCTGACCAAACTGTCCTGAACTGTCATCCCTGACCTTCATCCTCATCCTCCTCTTCCTCCTCACCTTCATCCTCATCCTTATCCTCACCTTCATCCTCACCTTCATCCTCATCCTCCTCTTCCTCCTCACCTTCATCCTCACCTTCATCCTCACCTTCATCCTCATCTTCACCTTCATCCTCACCTTCATCCTCATCCTCCTCACCTTCATCCTCCTCTTCCTCCTCACCTTCACCTTCATCTTCATCTTCACCTTCATCCTCACCTTCATCCTCCTCATCCTCCTCACCCTCACCTTTATCCTCACCTTCACCTTCACCTTCACCTTCCTCCTCCTCTTCCTCCTCTAACTTCTTCTTTGTTTTCTCTGCTGTTGCTTCCAGAGGACTCCTCGAAAGGTGAGCATGGAGGGCAGATGGGGGTCTCCTGTTTTTGCTGCAGGTTTAGGGGCTTTGATTCAGTTACTCAGGACTGGGACTTCCTGTTAAAGGGATATTCTGGAGTAAATTTAATTTAGAGTCAAACTCACCGTAACACCGAGTTAGACCCCCCCTCCAGAGATGAATGTTGCCGACCGCTTGCTTCTCTAGTTATACCAACTTTAGTAACGACCGCAGGATAGAAATACAGAGAGCCACGCCCCCAACCAAAACGCCACTCTATAGCCACAAATAATGCTCAGAACAGCACCTAACTTCATCAACAGTACATATAGGGTCAAGGAAGAACATTTATGATCATTTCTTCATGGAAATACAATCAGACCGAGACGCTAAGACAGAAGAACTACCGCGTCTGTAAAATGATCAATATGGTGATTATTACTTCAAGGAAATGATAAAGAAATGATCATAAATGTTCTTCCTTGAGCTGCGGCACCCCGCTGTAGTCCGTAATATGTCCTGTTGATGAAGTTAGGTGCTGTTCTGAGCATTATCTGTGGCTATAGAGTGGCGTTTTGGTTGGGGGCGTGGCTCTCTGTATTTCTATCCTGCGGTCGTTACTAAAGTTGGTATAACTAGAGAAGCAAGCGGTCGACAACATTCATCTCTGGAGGGGGGGGGTCTAACTCAGTGTTACGGTGAGTTTGACCCTAAATTAGTTTTGCTCCAGAATATCCCTTTAACAGACGCCTGTAAACATGGATGCAGAACATCCCTCATCATGAACTCGGTCACGGCTTCGCTCACGCTCGGGCAGAGAGGGGAGGAGCTGCTCCATGGATACAGGAGTCTGAGGTTTTAGGGTGTAGATGTTCTCAGAGGTAGACCAGCGTCTGTGTACAGAGGGATCCAGAGAACCCGGGAGGAGTTCACCATCGAGTAAAGAGACGGTTTGGACCTGGTTTCAGTGCGGTGTTCAAAGTGCTGATTGGTTAGTATCTGAGAATGAGTAACCACAATGACTCGTCCTGACTCCGCCTCCTCCTCTTCTTCTTCTTCTTCCTCCAGGTTTTCTCCAAACTCTTCGAAGTCGCTCGGAGTAAAGTCCCGTTGGCCAGCCTGATCCCAACGCCGCGACCCCGGCTCGCCTCAAACAACAACGTTAAGAAGAAAAACTAGCAGCACGCCTCCTCTGTCACTACCCCGACCCCTCCCCCCCACGTTTTTAGGACGCTTTGAGACGTGTAAATCAGTTTCTGTTCTCTGACTGTAGATGGTTCCTCGCTGAAGGAGCTACTCTAGACCCAGACGAAGCAGCGTGATGTACTTTATTTCTGTCAGTGGGCGGGGCTAAGGTATTTATTGGTGGGTGGGGCCATAATTCTATCACTAAGCGTCATCAGAGGTGTGTGTTCACCTGTCGACACTTCTGATTCCATTTCCTGTGAATGTACCAGAGAAGAGCATGACCACACCCCCTCCTCCTGGTGTCTCCTTCCTCTCCTCCCTCCTCACGGCTCCTGTTGTGGGCGGAGTCTGGAGGAGGAGGCGGAGTTCCAACCAAAGTTTACAGCTTTACCTTTAGAGGCTCTCAGACTGACAAAGGAACAGGAAGCTGCAGATGACTGACAGCTGGCTTTGAGGGAAAATGAGACCCGCCCACAATCCCGAACTCAGAACTCTGTAGACCCGACTGACAGTACCCCCTTTGTCAAAGAGTTCTGGATCTCATCGGGCTTCTTGATCCGGTCAGATAAAGGTCCATTAGACCTCCCGGTCCTCAGATGGTTCCCAGTATCTCAGTATTTACCCCTGAAACCCGGGACCGCATTCGGACCCTCCGGAGGTCGTCTGAAACTTTAGAGAATGGCACGACTGTCACAAGTCCAAGTGCTCATGTCACCCTAAATTTACGGCCACGCCCCTTTTTTGTCCCGATCGTTGTCACCAGGTGACCTCGGGATTACAAACGCAGGCCTGACGTGGTTCACAGTTCCTGATGTAGTCCACTAAGATGGTACCGGGCTGAGCCGGGACGTTCGTTTTTGACCGAATTTGAACTTCTGAAATATTTCAGCGTTTTTATCCTCAAGCCCACGAGTTTGTCCGATTGTGGGCGGGTCCGACTGAAGGTGAAACTACATTTCCCAGAAGCCAGCTGACCCTGAAGCAGCATGTCTGACTGTGTAAGGTTTCTTTGGACCAGAACCTGACTTGATTCTTCGTTGTGACCCTGACTCTCAGTATTGACTTGTTATTTAATGGTTCTCTTTGGACGGTTCAGGTGGATCGTAGCGTTTTAGAGTGGACTTGATTTGGATCCAATAAAAGTTCTGCCTCGGGGAGACCAGGTCCTATTTGAGTACCACTGCGGTGTAAAAAGGTTCCTGTGGGTTTCTTCAGCCTGCAGCAGTCAAACAGCTGAACTCACTGAGCGCGTCTCTTTAAAGCCACCAAACCCCATTGAAAAAAAGACTGATTTTACTTTCCAGAACACAGCAGCTCTTCTGTGGGTTTGAAAGAGTCATTTTAGCTTCAACACTAAATCAAACACAGAACCTCTGAATCTGAACCGGACCAACACTCCTGACTCCTGTCAGGGAAACGTCCTGGTTCTGGGGGTGGAGTCTGGTGCTGCTGGTCGTTTGTTTATACCTTCATATTTGATAATAACCAAACTTCATCAGCAGACCTGAAACGAACATTTCTGATCTCGCTGGTTCAGTTTTTTTTTTTAGTTCAGGTCTGACAGCCGAGCGTGACGACGACAAAACGATTTTGGCGAAGAGGTCGTGAGGAAGTCAAGTAAAGGTTCAGAGAGGAAGCAAACCATCCAATCAGAAAAAAGGCTGTTTTTATGGGAGGAAGGTCAGAGCGCCGCGCTGCACCGCGCCGCGCCGTGAACGTTCGACCGTTACAAGAACAAAGTCCTGTTTTAATGAGATTAAAATCATGACGTTTAAAGGAGAAGTCCGATCAGATTACAGTTTTCTTCTGTAGAGAAAACCGTTTTTTTGGAGCGAGTCTTCAGACTGACTTCCTGTCTCCTCTGTAAACCGGCGTTCTGGCGCTCGTCTGTAACAGCGGCCATCTTTAGACCCAAACGCTGCGCTAACATCGAACACGGACTAAACCCTCTTCCTGTATTTCCGAACTTTACACTTCATAATAACTCTAATAATAATAACACATATTTATGTTCGTGATATAATTATATTTATAATTACAACTAAACGAGTGAATCCGACTTTGACGTTTTTCTCCTTCAGAACGTGTTTTTTTTTACGTCATCATTCCACTTTACAAATGTGAGAACTTGAAACTCGTAACTTTACGATGTAAACTAACTTCCCAATCGTAACTTTACGACATAAACGAACTTTCCTCTTTATAATAATATAACCATAATAAATGATAAAAACTCATATTTATATTAGTGATATAATTATATTTACGATTTTAGCTAATTGAGTAAGTTTCAGTTTTTCTCCTTCTGAACATGTTTTTTTTTTACGTCTCCGTTTCTCTTCACAGATTTAAGAACTTTAAACTCGTAACTTTACGAAGTAAACAAACGTTCGTCTTCGCTCGTTAACGTTCGTCCTGAAATCGTCACTTTGTTTCTCTTCGCTGTTTTGACCTTATAAGGAAATCCTCGGACTTTAAAGACCCACAGAGGAGCTCTGAGGCGGACTCTGCTGGGCTCAGTGGACTCAGCTGTTGGGGGTTCAGATCCTCTTCTCCAGGACCTCAGAGCTGACGGTCCGACTCTGAGCCTGAAGAAGACCTGACCCCCTTATTCAGGTCTATGAAGAAACCTGTCAGACCAAAAACTGGACCTGAAGGGTTAGAGACCCTGAAGTGGGTCTGAAAAAGGGTCCAGGGTCTCAGACCCCTTAGATGGTTTAGGACTTCAGAGTCCAGCTGTCCCCAAAATCCAAGATGATTCAATCAAACGGTCCAGACTAGTCCAGCTGAGACCTGAAGACCTGAAGACCTGAAGACCTGAAGACCACCTTTGAATCGGGTTTTTGACTTCGCTGTCATTCCTCCTCCTCTTTCTCCTCCTCTTCCTCTTCTTTCTCCTCCTCCTCCTCCTTCTCCTCTTCTTCTTTCTGCTCCTCCTCCTCCTCTTGTTTCTCCTCCTCTTCCTCCTCTTCTTTCTCCTCTTCCTCTTCTTTCTCCTCCTCCTCCTCTTCCTCCTCCTCTTCTTCTTTCTCCTCTTCTTCTTCCTCCTCCTCCTCTCCTTTCTCCTCTTCCTCCTCCTCTTCTTCTTTCTCCTCCTCCTCCTCCTCTCCTTTCTCCTCCACCTCCTCCTCCTCCTCTTCTTCTATCTCCTCTTCCTCCTCCTCCTCCTCTTCTTCTTCTTTCTCCTCCTCTTCTTTCTCCTCCTCCTATTCTTCTTTCTCCTCCTCCTCCTCCTCCTCCTCCTCCCTGTTTTTTCTCCTCCTTTTCTTTTTTTCTGTTCTTCGAGCGCTGACTGAAGTTTTTCTGTTTTAATGCCAAAAGCTGTGATGATTGATTGATTGATTGCTTATCGATAGATCGATCATTGATTGATTGATTGATAAAAGTTTCATTCCAAACATGGACCTCCTCCTCCTCCAGCCGGGGTCAAAGGTCATCACATCCCTTCTGTCTGATCATCATTCCATCCAGGACGCCGCCGCCATCACCACTGTGTGCTTTTGTTTTTGTACAGCCTCATCCACACACACACACATACACATGCACACACACATACACACACACACGCACACATGCACACATGCACACACACACACACACATGCACACACACACATACGCACACACACACACACACGCACACACACATACACACAGAAACTCTCTCTCTCTCTCTCTCTCTCTCTCTCTCTCTCTCTCTCTCTCTCTCTCTCACTCGCGCACTCACACGCGTGCACACTCACACACACTCACACACACTCACACACACACACACACAGGGCATGTGTATGAAGAAACAGTATATACAAATATAGATATAAATTTTCTAGAACCTTTTGTAGCTGGAGGGCGGATGATTTGGTTCAGGTCGGGTCTGTGTGGGTCCAGGTCCGTCTGGTCTGGGTCTGGCTTGTTCAGGCGATGGGCCCGGGTTTGTCTGGTCCAGCTAGTCCAGGTCTGTTTAGGTCCAGGCCCGCTCAGGCCCAGGTTCTGGGCCCGGCCCGGCTCCCTGGTGTCACGCTGTGGTGCCGTGTGGATCCGTCTGAATTCCTTTTTTATATGAATCTTTGTAAATTGAATCCAACGTGAGCACTGCGGTCCGGCCTCTGCGGGGAAAGAATGTTTCTAATCTGGATCTCTTGGTTCTTCGTCCTCTGTTGCATTTGAAAGTTATTTTCGTTAATTTATTTTTCAGTACAATATTAAACCAAACTCCAACACTAACCGTCTGTTTACTGTGGTCTGTCACTGAGCTGGAGTCACACACAGGGTTCCAACTGGGACACTGGTCCAGATCTGGGTCAGAAGGTCCAGATCTCACTCATCTGAGCAGAACCAGATCCATCTATCTGGGTTCAACAGAGAGTCACTCTGCAGCTCATTTAAAGTAGGAGGGAAAACTGAAGCGAGATCAGCAGGATACGGGTCCGAACAAAAATCTGAATAATCTGAGGAGGAGTTTGGATCAGAACCAAAAATCTGAAAGTAGAAACAGATCAATCTTTTTTTATTTTATCAGGTTTTAATAAATGAATCTTTCCAAACCCAAAGAGGTCCTACAGCAGATGGACCCGCCCACCCTCAGAATTCACTAAAGAGGAGTTCTTGGTTGCGGGGTTCAGGGTCGTTCTCAGTGTTTTCTCCTCAGGGTAAGTGTCCAATCAAATCAAGTAATTCAATAAATGAGAATGTTCCCATAATTCAGAGACGTTCCTCACACCGATGAATTCTGATGATTGTAACTCAGCTGATAATAAAAACACAAATTCACTCTCAGAAGTTCAGAGACTCACCCTGTCACATCCTGGACCTTTAACTGGTCTGTCAGTCTGAATCCGTCATCCCCACGGTCCTGGGGGAGACCGGGGACCTGATGGATGTCCTGATTTATTGAGATGGTCCAGTTTCTGTAGTTAATGTGGTTCTGGTTCAGCTCTTCCTGTTTTCACCGTCAGACCCACAGACAGTTTTTTCATCTTTGTGTCGTTAATAAAGTTTTTATTTCAGTTTGTCATTTATGTAAAATCGATCTCACTTCTTCATTTTCTTTATTCACCTTCAAAATAAAGCAAATGAAACCAAATCTGTTCAATAATCGGTTTAATGATTTTTTTAGGAAAGATGATCTGATGGGGATGAAACTGTTTCACTGACAATAACCTTCAGTCACGTCTTCATCTTTTCTGAATCTGGATCGAAATAAAATCTGAAGAAGGATAAAAAAACATAAATCCATCCTGAACATCGTGGGCCGGAAGTACCACCTGAACTCTGTCCTCAGGAGTCCTCTGGGTTTGAGTGGACGGGTCTTGTTGGTGGATTTTGGACAAATATGGGATCAGACTTTTTCATCACTGAAGTTCTTGTCCTCAGAGGCCACCGTAGCTTTTCACTCTAGAATCTGACCTCTCAGTGTCCCGACAGCCCCCCCCCCCAGAGAGTGGGAGTGGGCGGGATCACAGCTGTTTTTGTTTGTTTGTTTTTGTTTGTTTTTTCTCTGAGGTGTAAATGAAGATGACGTCACTGAGTTCCAAGTGACCGTTAACGATGAAAAGGGCCGAAACATGAATGAAGATGACGTCACAGCGGCTCAATAAACGCATGTGTGACAACAACCGGTAATGATGTCTCAACTTTTCAAAATAAAAGACCCAACAGTGGAGGAGGAGAAGGAGGATGTGTTTAAGAGGAAGCAGCTGAGGATGCTGGGATATTTTTAGGATGACGGTGATGAAGATGAGGATGACGAGGGGGCGGAGCTCTGACGTCACAGCTCCTCCGCAGTGCTGCTGCTGTTTGACCGGAAAAACCACCGGGACCCGCTGAAAGGATTTCCACCTTCTTCACTTCTCCTCCTCTTCGGTCTCCTCGTCTCCTTCCTCCCTCCTCCTCTTCTTCCCTCGCTCTCACTCTCCGGCTCTCCTCGTCTCCATGCGGGTCTCTGTCCCGCACCGCTCCGCCGCAGACACCGGGCCTTCCTGTAGCAACCGCCCCGGCCTGCCTCTCCCTCCGGCCGGCGGAGCCTCCCAGCTGAGCCCCGCTGAGGTGGCCTGTTGCCGGGGAGAGATGCTGTAGAGCAGCCGGGGAGGAGATGCTTCTCCCGGCCTGAGAGGAGCAGAGAGCCGCGGGAGAACGCAGGAAGATGTCCGGCAGGATGCCTCTGACCCCGGTGAGCGAGAGGGAGTCCGAGCAGGTCAGTCCGCTTCGATTATCGATTAATTATTGAACTCCATCGATAATTTATGTTCCTGGTTTTGTTACTCAGAGACGGTAACGTGACTGATCTGTAAATGAAGGCGAACCGATCTAATCAATGAGTTTGATCAGAAATGTCCGTGTTATTCACAGACAAAGATTTCAGGACTTTTATTTTGTAAGGACTTTGAGCCTGACGCTTTAGGAGGAGGAAGTTGTTGGTTTGAATCCAGATCGCTTCGGAGTAGAGGCACACTGGCAGCAGTGGTGCATTATGGGAACAAACTTTAGAGTCTCTTTGACGTCCAAACCCCTAAAAACCCGACTGGTGTGGAGGAGCGTCCCGGTCCCTCTGCAGGTCTCTGAACCACCCAATCACATCACCTGTTTCCAGATGTGCAGCGGAAACCATGGCGACAGAAGCCCAGCTGGTGATGTCATTGTCGGTGATGTCGGGGCGCCGCTTTAGCCGAGATACTAACTAACCAGCCGACCAATCACAGGCCTCGCAGATGTTTGAACCCTGAGTCCAGGTTTCAGAGGAGAGTCCGAATCCTTTGGTCAATCCTGGGGCGGAGGGTCAACGCAGGACTAGAAACTTCCATGTCGGCTCTGAGACCAGGTTCTCTGGAGGGTCAGTCAGGGTCAGATAAAGAGGTCTGGGTTTAGTCCAGCTTGTTGGTTGAAGGTCAGATCTTCAGTCAGAGACCCAGAGGTCTCATGATCTGTGAGAGAACCCCCCATGGTGTGACCCTTGACCCTGGTCACTCTGTCACTGTGAGGGTCTATAAGATCCCCCTGAATGAGAGTGGACCCCCTTCCAGCCTGATAATGAGACATGGACCCAGAACCCAAAAAGAGACCTGGAGATCTGGTCCAGTCTTCACAGATGGAGAAGATACCCCTGACATGGACTCTGGTGATCGTCAGACCATCAGGGATGCTGGATTTGGACCCGGGTGGACCCCTGTCTCTTCAGAGAGGAGAGTCCATGATTCCCAAAAAGACTCTTGGATTCTGATTGGTCGGTTTTGTGACCCAGCAGCGTTGTGGTTCTTTGGTCTTTGGACCTTCTGTGGACTCTGAGGGGACCTGAGGCTGAGCTGGGTCCTTCACCCGGGCCGGATCATGATGCGGACTATCAGCTTTGTTTGGTTCCTGTAAATGAGCTCTTGAGTTTGGGTCCAAAGTTCCAACAGAACCAGTCCGGATCAGCTGATGTCATGGTCTAACAGTAGAGGTCTGACCCTCCTCGGACTCATCCAGACCCAGTCACACCGGTTTCTGTCGGCTCTGGTTCCTACCTGTAGGACCTTCCTCTACCCGCTCTGTTACTGTGATCTGGACTCGGACCGGGCGGGTTAGGATTAGGTTCTGGTTTAGGTTCTGGTTTAGGTTCTGGTTTAGGGTTCTTGTCCCTGACGATCTCAGATACCAGGAAATTCGGACTCTTTCAGGGTCTC